CAATCCAGCGAGAGCTCACTTGCAATTTTCCCAAAAAATAATGAGATGAGCAATGTTCTGAATAACATACACAAAGCAAAACATATTTCACGTATCTCCATACGTCTTTATATAAAAAACTAATCCCAATGAGTTTCTTCTGGTATAAAAAAAAAATACTGCTTTGTGCCTGTGAATGTAACTTTCTTATGTGAAAGAAATAACGGTGATATATGGCAACTGAATATGTCACACGTGACTCCAGACCAATCGTAAAAACTGAGTTGAGTCAGCTGATTAGCATAAAAAAGAGGGCGAATCGGAGTAGTCCAGAGACCGGCGTGAGTTACCAGCTCGTCCTTTTCTGGGATAGGACGTGCTATAATAGCACAATTATGTTCTTAACACACCTATTTTTCTTCGTTCTAATTTTGCTCATCAAATGCACAAACCCCTGCATAAATTGCACACAATTTCTTCAAATATCCTTTTATTAGATAAACTTACACAACACATCGTTACATAAACTGCCCATTACAGTAGTTCCCACAGACGCTATTCCTGGACGTGCTGATACAAGAATAACCGCTTTTTATGTCTCACAGGTAAGGTGTTTTCCAGACACTTAATTGCCGTTATGTTCTCTTGCACGAGAATATGAGTCCAGTTGCGTCTTTCACTCGCTCTTGGGCAACGCGTGATTTGTCTGTTAATGTAATAATTCTCGCTAAAGGGGGGGGGGAGGGTCAGGTGTAGCTATTTATATTTCTGTCTACTTGTCACACACACACACACACACACACACACACACACACACACACACACACACACACACACACACACACACACACACACACATACACGCACAGACATACACGCACACACTAACGCGCGCACACACACACACAAACACACACACGTACACACTCACATACGCACACGCACACACCCACAGAAACACATGTTCACTCTCTCCATATATGTATATATATATATATAATATATATATATATATATATATATATTATATATATACACATTTATCTATCTATCTGTATACATATATATATATATATATATATATATATATATATATATATATATATATATATATATATTATATATACATATATACACACACGAACAACACATATGTATGTCTGTGTGTATGAATATATATATGATATATATATATATATATATATATATATATATATATATATATATATATATATATATATATATATATATATATATAATATATATATATATATATATACATATACATATATATATACATATAATATATATATATATATATATATATATATAATATATATACATACACACACACACGAACAACACATATGTATATATGTCTGTGTGTATATATATGCATATATATGCAATGAAAAACACAATACCGTGTTGATGATATGGAAGAAAAACCCACAATGCACAAACTAGATTTATTGAGGAAAGTGAGACAACAGTTTCGGAATCGTCCTCCATTCCATCTTCGAGTCTGAAGAGGCAAGGGAGAGTAAGCGGAATAAGAGGGAAAGGAGGAGAAGCACTCGGGAATCACGGGGTAAGTGAGGACAGGAGAACGGAAGCGAAGGGAGGTCATGTCAGGTCGAAGGATCAGGCGGTCTATGTGACGGGTGACCGGCATAAGGGAGGAGACGAAGGATGTGGGAAGCGAGGAGGCTGTCGGCAGGAGAGAAACGCGTTCAAGTTGAAATTGGGCAGCAGCTTAATCAGAGAAGATTCCACCAGTCTGCGGGTATGGACATCAGCGGAGGGGAAGAGAATGCGTGCTGCTTTCCAGTCCATCTGATGGCCAGTGTCTCACTGATGGCAGAAGAGGGCGTTGTTGCTATGTCCCCTGGATACAGCGTACTTATGCTGAGACAGACGCTTAGTAAGACTGGCGCTTGTTTCACCAAAATACTGCTTATCACAGGAGGCACACAGAACAGCATAGGTGCCCACCTTCGAGGTAGAGGGATGGCAGGTGTGAACCAGGTTACAACGGAGAGTATTCACCTGGCGAAAGGAGAGTCTGCAGAGGCCGACGGAGGGAGTAGATCTCAGTGTAAGGCAGGCTGAGGACAGGCAGGTGAGGAGACATTGGGAGGGGAGTCATGGTAGAAGGTACGCCGCGCCCTGGATAACGCGACGTCTAGAACATGGCAAGGATAGCCCAGTTTGGAGAACGAACTACGAAGGAAGTCGATGCGGAGGGCACAAACCCCTTTCTTCACATGCAGTGGATGGTACGAGAAGAAGTGTATGTATGTACATACCACTGTGCATAGGTTTCCTGTAAATAGAAAAGGAGAAGTGATCATCAGAGCGATGGACAAGAGTGTCCAAGAAAGCCTTGTCCTCCATTGAAGCGGATGGAAGGAGAGAGAGAATTCAGCTGCAACAGGAAATCAGGAAACAGGGCAGGGTCATGGGGCCAAAGAGCGAAGACGTCGTCGACATATCTCAGTCACATGGAAGAACGAGGGGAGATGGAAGGGAGGAGCTCCGACTCGAAGAACTCCATGTACAGGTTAGCCAGAACAGGGGAGAGAGGAGAGCCCATGGCAACACCGAACGTCTGTGAGTAGAAACGACCCTCAATTCGACTCCACACACAGACGAATCAGCTGGAGGAAGATTTCGATGGGAAGAGGAAGACGAGGATCCTCGGCAGGGAGCTTCCTCTGAAGGAAGGCGAGGACGTCATCAAGCGGGACCTTGGTGAACAGGGAGTCGACATCCAGGCTCAGCATGGACGCCGGCGAGACACCGCGAACACGGGAGATGAAGACCTGTGAATGGCGAAGGTGAGCAAGAGAGAAGGTGCCGAGAAGGGGAGTTAGAGACTTAGCCAGCCAAGCCGCCAGAGGATGCGTCACCGATCCCCGGGAGGAGATGATGGGGCGTAGAGGCACGGCCGGCTTATGGCTTTTAGGAAGCCCATAGAAATGAGGGAGGCGAGGGTTAACGACCTTGAACCTCTGGTAAACGTTCGCCTCCGGGAAACAGGCTGCAAACTCTCTCAGACGACGGTGCTTCTCCTTTCCCTCTTATTCCGCTTCCTCTCCCTTGCCTCTTCAGACCCGAAGATGGAATCGAGGACGATTCCCAAACTGTTGTCTCACTTTTCTCAATTAATATAGTTTGTGCAATGCATATATATATATATATATATATATATATATATATATATATATATATATATATATATATATATATATATATATATATATATATATATATATATATATATATATATATATATATATATATATATATATATGGGAATTTTCTATATTACCTTCGCCTCTCCGATATCGACGATTTTGATATCGTTGGATTCCTCTCACTCTGTACAATCCAAATATGTAGGTTTTATTGCGCGGAAAACCCCCGTTAGCGGCAAACCTGGGCCCGATAGCAGGGGCGACGATGTCGGAGCGGCGGACGTAATATAGAAAATTACCCTAATAATATCACCCACAGTGAAAATAACCATGGTTATTCACATGACTTTCCATTCCATTCCACTGCGACCACCCCTGGGGGGGCTGCCGCCCCCCAACCCTCGCCGAGGACTCAAAATATCCCCAGGTATTCACGGCAGGATAGAGCGCACACGAACTAGATGCATCGAAAAAGGCGCAAAACCCGCCGACCCGACGAGGGTGGGTCACCGCCGCTCTTCTGTTCATGGTATACCTTGTTCATCCTGATTATACTACAATCGTCTCTGTATACAATGTTGACTATGTCAAGGTTAGTATGCTGATTCAGTGGGAATGTTACGAGGTAAATGTAATACGTCCGCCGCTCCGAGATCGCCGATAACTGTGTAACGCTCTAGCCTGCCGGGAATACGTGGTGGAGGTTTTATTTCCTCGGAGGGGGTTGGGGGGCCGCAGCCCCCTGCAATGGAAACTCATGTGAAAAACCATGGTTATTTTCACTGTGGGTTATATTATAAGTGTTATTCAATCCCACATTTTCCCTGGAACCTTCCATGCCCTCCCCTGCTATCAGGGCCAAGTTTGTCGCTAACGGGGGGGGGGGGGTTTCGCGCAATAAAAACTATATATTTGCAATGTGGACAGTGAGAGGAATCCAACGATACCAAAATCGGCGATATCGGAGAGGCGAAGGTAATATAGAAAATTACCCTATATATATATATATATATATATATATATATATATATATATATATATATATATATATATATATATATATATATGTATACATACACATACAGACATGCGCGCGCGCGTACTTAATCGGGCCGAAAACCTCCTGCCCGGCACCAAATGTCCCGCGGGACTCGTCCAGAGAGGGCCCAGGCTGCGCGCAGCGAGAAGTCAAAGGCTACGCCTGAGAGCGCTCGAAAGATTCTTATGCAAGAGGGAGCAACGGAGGTCTTCCGTCGAAGAAA